CTTCCTTTCTTCCTTTCTTCCTTTCTTCCTTCCTTCCTTCCTTCCTTCCTTTCTTTTCTTTTCTTTTCTTTTCTTTTCTTTTCTTTTTTTCTTCCTTCCTTCCTTCCTTCCTTCCTTCCTTCCTTCCTTCCTTCCTTCCTTCCTTCCTTCCTTCCTTTCTTTTGTTGTTGTTGTTGTTGATTTTCCCCCAGCTATTCTAGGGTTTATTACAGAATTTGCCAAGTCCTGTGGATCAGATTATACATTGACATTTTTATATATGTATATATGTGTATAGGTATATATAAGATTATACATTGATATTTGTATATATATTTATATAGGTATATAAGATTATACATTGATATTTGTATATATGTATGTATATATACAGGTATATATAAGATTACATTGACCTCCCCCCCACCCCCCAGGATTGCCAGTCTCTGACATCTAAAAGCTTCAGTTTGTCTTGGCATCATTAGGCCAAATTCTAGAATTTCTATATATGCCAAGATTTGGCTTAGATTTTTCTCTTCTAAATAGTCTTTGGAAAGTGCAGTTTTTATATTTATTGCACCATTCTCTTTTAGATCATGAAGATATTAAAAGTTATTCATAAACAGAGATTATGTTTAAATTTTGAAACTGAGGATATTAGGTAACAGTAACTATCCTTTCCAAATTGTCCTAACTTTTTTTAAATTTTAGTTTCCAGTCTATATTAAGGGGAAAAGATTACACAGATTTTTCTTCATCATGGTTCTGCTTTTTCCTTTTGAATGTCATATACAAAAATCAAAATTAGCCTAGTTTTGGTGGTTCATGCCTTTAATTCCTATTGAGACAGAAGCAGGCAGATCTTGGAGTTTGAGGCCAGCCTGGACTACATAGTTTCAGGCCAGCCAGGGCTACATAATGAGACCCTGTCTCAGAAAAAACAAAAATTAAAAACAAGATTACCCTAATGTGCTTTGCTCTTTGAAACTATTGAACCCTCAGCTTAGAGTCTTGGCTCTCTTTTTGTAAAAAGAAAAGTCTCAAGTCCATGCATCAAGTAAATGTATCATGCTCCAATAGTAAGTAGTTCTCTGAAGATACCAACACAACTATTAAGAATGTAGGCCTGAACTATGCAAACAGCTTTGTTTAAATGTGGTCAGTGCACCAAAAGAAATTGTGACTCTCAGTTCTCAATGAAGGAGTAATCAGATTATTGTCACTGAGAAGCCAAGAAATATTGTTCATCTCATGGTAACTTAAATGCCCTTGTCTTCTTTAATTGTATTCCCAGACCTGGGACGTGTCATATTTTACTCATCTAGCTAATTAAATTAAACAGTCAAAATGCAACTACAGTTTTCTGAGGTTTTAGCTCATCATTTCATTCATTTCCTCGTAAACTCAGCTTGCTTCATTGTCATTGTGAAGTATTTGAAATGGTGTCTATGGACTCGTGCTGGATCCATGTGTTTAAATGTTGATATTTACATACCAGGATGCTGTGTCCTACTCTTTATCATTCATAAGCCATGTGCAGTGTTGATTTGTAGGTGTTGGCTTTACTGGATGGCTGTATGTGAATGACACTGACTAAACAATGCCTCCTTTCTCTCTACCAAGCCTTGAGCACACTCACTGCTGAATTCTTTCCCTCCAGTTGTTTCTTCTGCTCAGTTTGATACTTAGAATTACAGACCGATGGGTGTTACATCATGGCTGTTTTTTAAGAACAATTCAATGTTTTTTAACTTCTTCTATTTGTTCTCTTAGGGTAGATTGAGGGTGGGAAGTGTGGGCAAGAAAACAGATTAAAAACTGCTCTGAAGTTTTATGAAAATCTGACTTGAGTGTTTTTCTCTTCATTTGCTGTGCTTATGTGAACAGTGTGACACCATCGCCACCACAGGCTCGGGTCTGTCCTCCCCATATGCTACCTGAAGATGGAGCTAATCTTTCCTCTGCCCGTGGCATTTTGTCGCTTATCCAGTCTTCTACTCGTAGGGCTTACCAGCAGATCTTGGATGTGCTGGATGAAAATCGCAGGTGATTGGTCGCAGCGGCTTTGCCGCTTTGTTGCATATGTTTTGGCTCCTTATTTAGTGGACTGTGGTGTTGTCTTTTTGTTTGCTCCTTTCAGTCTTTTTCTAAGATGCTATGGTTTGAAATGGCTTTCTTTCTTTCTTTTCATTTGAAATTATTGTCCAAAATTCACATTTCACAAGATTATATTAGCTTTGCCTGAGTTATGGAAGGCATTTAGTTCTGCACATAGGAAGTGTAACAACTTTTTTCAGTGGCTTTGCTGGCCTATTCTAAGTGCTTGATTCCACTTGGAAATATGGCAGAGGGACTGTTGGACTGAGTGTGACATCTGGGACTTGAGCATACTACTTGTCTTCAGTTTTTTGATTTAATTACCTGCACTAGTGAAGTAATAAAGAAGGTAGGAGATGTTGCTGTAGCTCCCAACACACTTTCCTATTAGCTGTGGATTCTAGGCCCAGACTAGAAATTCTATGTGCTATTGCCATTTTTGGATAATGCTGGTATTTTTCAATATATTCATAGTCGAATACCTCATTTTGAATGTCTCCAAGTAGTATCATTAGAATCCTACTTCAGCTTGTTTAAACAAGTAATTTTTTTTTTTTACCTTTGTTCTTTTCTTCATTAACTTACAGTATTTTAAAAAGATGGAGTCCCAGAGCTTTGTTGACGTCATCTGGGAAAGTCAGATGAGCTTCACTCCAGCTCTGAACATTAGTCTCATGGCTTTGAAAGTCACTGTTTGCATTTTTGTTTTCATTTTATTAGATGATTAGTGTTTGTACTTTTGAAGGAATCCCAATAAATGTAGCCTTAATTTCTTAGCCTGGTGTGTCTCTGGCTTGCTCAGAACAAGCTTGTTCTTGCTGCGCCTTTAGTCCTCGCAGAACCAGCTCTTCACCTGCGCCAGGAGTGTCTGGACTGTTCGTGTTGTTGATCCAGGGCCTTCTCTGTCTCCCCAGGTTAATGTAATGGGACATGTTTGGGCCATAGGACTTCACACACTGTAGTGAAGAAAGCTTTGAGGCCTACAGCATCAAAGACAAATTATCAGTATTGTACATGTATATGTATGTATGTATATAGAGATAGACTTTTTAGTTGTTGGATTGTTTCTTTTCCTCCAAGGGTTTAGAGTCCCTTTCAGCTCTCTGAAGCTTCATGAACTCTATTTGGAAGTGATAGTCAGCAGCAGGGTTCAGAAGGAACAATGTAGATAGTGGAAATCTCTCAGATTCATTCTGGATTCCTCCACTCAACAGCTAGCTGCATGCTGGCCTTAAGCATATAACTTGTGTCTCTTCTCTGGGCCTCCTTTTCCTCATCTGTTGAGTAGGTGAAGAGGGATTATACTTGGCCGACTAGATTCTTGAGACAAGTCTTCTGCCCTTCACCATTATTTAAAATGTGGGGCTGATGGCTTCAAATTGCTTTCTTGGTATAGTAGGAGATTCTTGGAGGTCATGACCAGAAAGCACTGACATTAGAAGCTCAAATCGGTAAAGGCCTTCTTCTTTCACTCCACCAGATAACTTTCTTGTTATAGTTGCCCCTTAGGAGAAATGGCATTCATGGGTTAGAATTTATCATGTTTGATGCTATTGTAGTGAAGACATCCAGATGAAAAAGCGGTATCTAGATCATAGGTAGGTGAATTCATCACTAGATGACAGAGTTACAGTCCATTGTTACTGTCCCACCTCCTGCCAGCATATCCATAGCTCAGATGCACTTGGAGAAGTGTGGATTTTTTTTCCTCTATGGTGAGAAAAAATATTGCCTAAAATTCAAGCATACAAAATCTGAAATCTTACCAGTGTAAAGTTTGTATGCTTAAAAGTAAAGTATGAAAAACTATTTAGAACATAACTTAGTGACTTAAATAATCTTATTAACCCAGTTAAACTTTCTAAAAGAAAGAGCTGGATGTGGTAGCTCACAGCTTAATCCTGACACTTGGGAATCTGAGGCAGGAGGATTGCCTTGAGCTCAAGGCCAACCTAGGGTATAGAGTAGAATTTTGAATCAAAAATCAAAAAAGAGCTGGGCATGATGGCATATGCCTTTAATCCCAGCAGCACTCAGAAGACACAGATGTCTGTGAGTTCCAGGCTAGCCAGGGCTACATAGTTTCTAGATATATTCATCACTTGGTACCTTCAATCCCAGAGTGGGTTCTCTTCAGCCTCACCAGTGCTTTCATTACTGAAAGGTTCGGTTTTTTTTTTTTTTGGTTTTATTTTAATTATACAAAGTTTAATCAGAATTTTAAATGCCAAATCAGTTTTTGCTTCTGCTGTGGAGGAGGTTGGCCTGATTTTTCAAAGAAATGGGAATGTGAAATTTGGATAATGTTCTACTTGCATGAATATAAAATAATACTGCTTATACAGTTTTCAGCGCTTTTATGTTCCTTGCTGTTCATCATTTTTTCTTTTCTGTGTTATTGCTCTTGGCTATCGTGTTAATGCAGTATCTTTGTACTTGGGAGTGCACATTAAATACAGTGAATATAAACTAGAACTATTTGTCAGAAAAAGCAAGAGCTTCCTGTTTGTTTTTTATTGTAAAATGATGCAGATTCCTATTTTCTCAGCTATTTTTAGTTTGGACATTAAGTGGCACTATAACTAGACTGAGTTTTCTTTCTCTGGTGAACTTGGTTTAGGCTATCTAAACAGAGTTAAGCACAAAAATCAAATGAATACCTAGGTGCTATTACAAAAATTCATACACACAAGTTAGCTCTGTACATTGGGAAAACTGACCAAAACCTCAGGAGAAGTCACCAGGTGTTCTCTGCCCAGTTGGCAGCAGGAAAGCACTGTTAAGATTTGTCTTTTGCAGGGCTCTCCTGTATTTGCTAGAGCTGCACATCTAATTCTCAGTGTAAAATACTACCATCTTCTAGAGAAAACAGTCTGTTATGTGTAAAACATTAGTTAATCATTAATACATGAGTTGTGCATAAGCTTTTGTTGGAGTGGCTTGATTATTTTTAGTTTTCCTTTAGCAGGTTGTATTTTTTTTTTATTTTTTTGAATGACTGGAATAAGAAACCCATGTATGAATGGTTTCTATTTTTGGCAAGTATCCATAAAATACGTAACATACAAGACTACAGCTCATAGAATATCTGTTACAACTTTTGTTTTTAAAAATGTTTAATTCTTGGTTCTCCAATCAACTTGTTTAATTACTATAATTGTTGAAATTTTTATAGAGAAGAAATGTATTCTCTTAATTAAGACTGTTTTTAACTCAAAAATGTCAGTATACAAACTAATACTCAAATTTGATAGCCTTAGGTTTCCTTCCCTTTGCCACTCTAATTACAGAATACACTATTGAACTGTTTCTTTTGACATTAGAGCATTCTTATGGTAGAAACTGGTGCTTGAATGAAGTTTCTAATTTTGCCAAATACCTGTCTAATTTACTTTTATATTATATGTATCAATTGCCAGTGTGAGAAGACAAAATGAGATACGTTGTGAAAGGTAACTGTATTGTTTCTCGCTCTGCATTTGTAAAAGGGAAATCTCTGTGGTGGAAAATGTTGAATATGGCAGATTATTTTGGCCATATTAACACACTCTTTAAAAACCTTTAGGAAGCACACAAGAGTGGCTTCATTTTGTTACCCATTCTCCTATTTTATAATTTAAGTGACTACAGTACATACTTTTCCTTAGTTCATGAACTAGAAGTTAGTAAGACTTAAAAACCTATCTGAAGAATGTGTGATTCGGCAGACCTCTATAGCAAGCAGAATGAGCCAAACCTGTCTCTCCCTCAGGTCTCTTAATCCCTTTTATTCTGGGCTCCAAAAAGAAGGATATTTTAGGTCCTAGTAATCACTTTAGGGCACGCAGAAAGTCAGCGTTAAATTTTTCATTTATATACTAAGTTGTTTTTTAAAAAAAAAAGTAGTCACTTATGGGGCTAGGATTGTAGATCCGTTGAAGTGCTCAATTAGCATTGAAAAGGCCCCAGCTTTGATCCCCAGCTCCACATGAAGTAGGGTGTGGAGGCAGGAGGATCAGAAGATAAAGGTCATCCTCAGCTACACATAACTTGGGGCCAAACTGTGCTGTATGAGACCTTGTGTCAAAAACAGAAAGAAAAAATTAAAAGCAGAAAAGAAAATAGTGGTTTATATTCCACAACTGTTCGTGTCAGAAAAGGCTAGAACAAGCATTTCTAAACTCTATGGTGATTGCCATTATACGTACAGTGAAGCAAACCTGATTAGTTACTTCGAAAAATGTCCCTACATGGATCCTCTTCTCATCTCTTGATTATTATTTTAGACAGTTCACTGGTGGGGGTTTAGAGTATGTTTCTTGATTTTAGCAAATTTAATTGAAAAGGTTCCAACTTAAGCAGGTAGAAGACTAATTGTCCTGTCACACTAAAGCATGTACTAAGACTAAAGGAAAAGCCCCACAAAGTTTTCCAGTGCACCTTCGTCCTCATGCAGCAGCCCTGTATGTCATTCATGGTTGTCTCAAGTTCAGTTGCACTCACATACTGATTGTACTTCTGGTAGTCTCCCTAGCCTTGGTCGGCCCTGTCTTTACCCTGCTTACCTGTGTTTGAATGGGACACAGCTGCATTAAGACATAAGGCTTATTTGACTAATCAGAATGAAGCAAGAGGGAAGGACTTGTGGGCAGTGGATATTTGTTTAAATTTCTAGTTTATATTTGAGCAACCATGGTCATGCAGGTGCTACTAACAGAAATTCTTGACATGCTTTTAAAGTGGCTAGTGACTTTCTTTTTCCAATTGAAAAAGAGGAATTACACTTTTTAAACAGCACCGTAGAGAATTATATGTTGGTGCTATTTTGTCATATTTCTTTTTTTTTATTATGAAGTGTTAAATTATAAAAATCATTAAAATGGGGAGGACACATGAAACAAGGATTTTCAAAGCATTTGAGGGCTATTATATTGTACTGAAGCATACAATATAATCCTATCTGACATTTCTTTGTCTTGTTTTTGCTTTATTTTTGTACTTCTCTGTTTCCTGACTGTCTTGTGTCTTCTGCAAACCCTGCCCTAGACCTGTGTTGCGTGGTGGGTCAGCTGCCGCCACTTCTAATCCTCATCATGACAACGTCAGGTAACTTGAGACTTTGTGATTACCAAAGGACACACGGATGTGATGGAGCTTGTATTGTGCAGGACATCAGAATGCATGCCATAGCTATGATTGTATACATGTACAGCTTAGGCCTCTGCAGATTTCTCTCAAGAGAAATACTGTGTTTTGCTAAGAACAGAGATGATAATTAGTCCTGACATTTGTCCACCAGAATATGAGAACATTGTATAATAATAAAGATTATGGTTGGGTATGGTGGCACATGCCTTTAATCCAGCATGCGAGAGGCAGAAGCAGGCAGATCTTTTATGATTTTGAGGCCATCCTGATCTATATAGTGAGTTCCAAATGAGCCAGAGCTATATAGTGAGACCCTGTCTCAACATTCCCTGCCCAAAAAATTATGGCATTGTGTGATTAGAATATCTGATTATGCCGGGCGGTGGTGGCGCCCGCCTTTAATCCCAGCACTCGGGAGGCAGAGCCAGGTGGATCTCTGTGAGTTCAAGGCCAGCCTGGACTACCAAGTGAATTCCAGGAAAGGCGCAAAGCTACACAGAGAAACCCCGTCTTGAAAAAAAAAAAAAAATCTGATTACATTTATAGCAGTATTTTAGTAGCTTTATAAGTGATAAAAGATATAATCTTAAATCTTGTTTTTTGTACATAACCTTTTATCACCTGTTGATTTGAGCCTTTGTCTATAGTATTTACCCTTTTCATACTATCAGATGTGCTTGGCAGTACAAGTGTGCTCTCAGGGGCCAAAACCTTCAAGTATTTCCCATCTTCTGCAAGGACACAGAAAATGCTGTCACTCATCAATTTCCAAGCCAGTTTAAGTAGAGCTGTGCTGTAGCAGTGGGTTTAAATCTGGCAGCATTGTTATCTTCTCCGAAGAGGCTGGCGTGTTCCTAAGCAGGAGAAAAGAGAACCATCCATTTCTTGTTAATCTCATCCATGTTGCCTTCGTGGTCCCTGACCGCTGTGCTTCCTCATTTCTTCTGCATCATAATTTAGGCCACACTGGTCTCTCCTGATAGTTCTTGTTAGTTTTTAGTCCTTTAACTTTCTGAGAAGGTGTTTCAGTGAGTGGTAGGTATGACAGCATTTGTTAGAGTTTTCAGTTCTGAAAATACAGTTTTAGTTTAAAATAAATTCATACTTTTTTGTTTTAAATTGAAGGTGCAATCTGGTTATATACTTAACTTTTTAAAAATTTCATTTATATATTTAATGTATAGTAGTGCTATTTTTCCATGTATGCCTGTGCACCAGAAGAGGGCACTGGCTGCCATGTGGGTGCTGGGAATTGAACTGAGGACCTCTGGAAGAGCAACCAGTGCTCTTAACTCCTGAATCATCTCTCCAGCCCCATACTTAACTTTTTTTACAAATGAAAATTGTCTTTAGATTTCTAAAACATTGATAATTTTTTTCATGTATTTTATTTTACTTTATTTCTTTGTTAAATAAAGTAGTTCTCTCTGTGAGCGTGCGTTGATGTGAGTGAGCATGTCTGTTTCTTGGCCTGTGTGGGTGACGGGGTGGGAAGGCCTGTATGGGTGCAGTGCATAAGCATGTGGAGCAAAAGGTCGCCCTTGGGTGTCTGTGTCATTCCTCAGGTGTTGTCCACCTTGGTTTTTGAGACAGGGTCTCCAACTTTGCTTGGAACTTGCTAATTGGGCCAAGTTGGCTTGCCACCAAGCCACAGGAATCCTCCTGTCTCTGCCTCCTGGATTACAGGGATGTTTCCCTATGCCCAGCTTTCTTATTTTTAACATGGGTTCTGGGGATCAAACTTAGGTTCTCACCTTTGGACAGTAAGCATTACTGGCTGAGTATCACCCGGCCTTGCATTCACCTTTGATATGGGTGCTGCTATTCTTTGATTATTATTCATCATCCAGTTATTCATCTCATGTGTGACCTTGGGGAAATAGAAAAGTTTTATTATTTTGAGAATAAAATATAGAAATAAAAAATCTTTGACCCGTATTTTTCCCCACTAATGATTTAATAATTTGTGGGGGCAGGTTGTATTATTGTGGTTCTGAAGACAAACTCAGGGACTTGCACAGGTAAGCAAGTGTTCTGCCACTGAGCTACACCCCCCAATCCTCTAGTTCCATTTTAGTATTTATGAGTATTGTGCTCAGTTTATTAAACTCACAGTTCCATTTCTGCTTAGTTTGAGTATTTCAAGACACATTGTTTCTAAGAGGGAAGGCATGGCTAATGTAAATCATCTGACCTAGCCATAAGAGAAAATGCAAGTCAGAGATTGTTGTAGATTATCTGAAATGGGTACATGCCATCGATTATTTAAATCTACTTTGCATGCTTTATTAAGGTATTTTTGGGGTGGTTTTAACATTTGAAACAGTAGAACTTTGTGCATAGACATATTAGCATGCCTGTATGAAATATATAATCTTCTTTATATCCCTTTATGTAAGGTTATATAGTTTTTGTAATGGGGAGTTTCTGGGAAGATTAGAGTATATGATCCATGTGCCAATTCTGTGTAGCTTGTATAAGAGTAACTTTTAATTTTACTTATATTCTGTTCCATATCACTTCACTAAAATAACCATATAGAATATAAATTAGATACACATGTAAATAAATTGTATTTGTATAAAATATATCTCAGTAAAAGTGTTTGTTAAAATGAATTTTAAAATGTGGAAACCTGGTGGTAGAGTGATGGTTTGGCAAGTTAAGAGTGCTTGCTGTTCTTCCAGAGTTCTCGAGTTCAGTTCCCAGTACTCGTGGGCAGCTCACAACCACCATCACTAACTCCAGCTCCAGGGGATCCAGGTCTCCTCATATACCCATGTGGAATACACTCAGAGACACACACACACACACACACACACACACACACACACACACACTTCACATTCTTTTCTTTAAAATATAGAAACCTAGACAAATGGAAGAAATAGTATTTCTGCATATTTATTTTTTAAATTTTTATTTTGAAGTTTTATACCTGCAGCCAGGCGTGGTAGTCCATGATTGTAACCCCAACACTTGGGAGGATGAGGCAGGAGGATCAGGAGTAGATGATCCACTGCCACATAGCAAGTTTGAGATTAGTCATGTGAGACTCCATTTCTAAAATGCCACTGTATCCCCACGTTAGTGCCCTTTTAGAAGTGAATGCATTTTAACAAAAAGTACTATTTAAGGTTTTTCCTTTGCATTGTCTTGGTGGTTTTCCAGCATTATTATTTTATATGCAGCCTCTTGTTGGCTTATTACTGAGCCCGTTTTGTAGCTAAGTGAAGTATAGTTACAAGAGATTTAGAAGATTGTATACTCATTTTTGTAGGAGAATACAATAAAGAGTAACTGGAAATCAGAAGTAAAGTAAAAAAAAAAAAAAGCTAAAGAAAGGCAGGCAGAAGTGGAAGAGTAATAAATGGTCAGTCTCCTGTCCATAGTTAACTTTGCATTCTCTGCCATTGAGTCTCTGTCTACAGAATGACATGTGGACATGGCTCATGTATAACTCTTGGGTGTCAGTGTATCCTACAGTGGCAGATCTCAGGCCCTTTTAGACAGAGACCTTTCCTTTAACGTTGCTGCATTTTCTGCCTTGAAAAAAGTATCTAATAAGATTTTTTTTCTCATCTTTTGCAGCATCATAGGTAGTTGACTTAAGCTACTTTTCCTTATTTGTGTCAATTCAACTGGGAAATGCAGCTGGGTGGTGGTGGCGCATGCCTTTAATCCCAGCACTTGGGAAGCAGAGGCAGGAGGATCTCTGTGAGTTCGAGGCCAGCCTGGCCTACAGAGCGAGATCCAGGAAAGGCGCAAAGCTACACAGAGAAACCCTGTATCAAAAAACCAAAAAAGAAAAAAAATGGGAAATGCTTATTTATATTGTTAAGCATGAGTCTTTTGAATACTTCCTTCAGTAGTGTATGACACGACACATGACTTGACAATTACTCTTAGTTTTTAACTTGTCTTTCCATATCTTATCTGCTAGGTATGGCATTTCAAACATAGATGCGGCCATTGAAGGAGCATCAGATGACATGACTGTGGTAGATGCAGCTTCATTAAGACGTCAGGTAATTACTGCCCCAAATAAAATAAAACCTAAAGCTATCTCTGTGAAATATTTCAGAGTAGTAGTTTGCATAATTTTATTATTTTCTCTCCTATGGATCCCATGAGTTCAGGTTATCTAGTAAGCCATAATTGATTTTCTCAGATTTATTACAGATTTGTTAAACCATCATTCAAATGTTTTTGACCAATATAAAACATTGATACCAAAATGATTGATATAATCTGGCCAGTATCAAAGAATCTTGATGTACTAATAAACCAATCTAGTCCTCAGTTATGTGTTTTGCTTTTGATATGTGGACAGTCACTTTGGGGATCTTTGTTACTATGTATAATTTCTTCACTTTAGAAACCACTGCTTTGAGTTTTCCCATTGCCTCTACATACATATTTCACGAGCCTACCCATAATCCCTGTCTTATAACTGTGGTTCTCATGTGCTTATTTTTGATGTGCATTCCTGCTGCCTCTACACAGAGGCAGTCCCATGCAGAGAAGGTATATTTGGTGTTCTCATTATGTATGCCAAATATATAATGAAGCTCTGAGTGGCATATCAGACAGTCCACTATCATAGGTGATTTTGGGCTGTCTGGGTATAGAGTGGACTGAGAACACAGTTCTCCAAGTCCCAGACTACACAACTGAGCTCATGGGGGAGGCACGGAGAAGAGCAGACATGCTCTTTCTATGATAGACCCTCCTGACACACTTCATGTTTCCCACCAGAACATAGTGCAACAGTGTCCTTACACACTTTCCCTAACTCAGATTCACAGAATGGAAATTTAAACTATTGTGGGCAGCATTTTTTTTTCTATTTATATTTATTTTGATCCAAATGGAATTTTCTGTGTAATAATTTTTTGACAGGTTAATGTACTATTTTTTAAAAATCTGAATGCTGTATGCATTAGTACTGTTTTGTATTTGTCTTTCACTTAGATAATCAAATTAAATAGACGTCTGCAACTTCTAGAAGAGGAGAATAAAGAACGTGCTAAAAGAGAAATGGTCATGTATTCAATTACTGTAGCATTCTGGCTGCTTAATAGCTGGCTCTGGTTTCGACGCTAGAGGTAACCTCAGCATTCACATATATTGATTGTCTCAACATCTGGAAATATAAAGGATTTGCAAACTTCGTTGTTTCTGTCTTTGCATTGTATGCCGTTTTATAATCCCAGCCCTGGAAATGTATTTCTTCCAGAAAGCAGGGGACTGTTCTGTTACTGATCTGCATTCAGCCAGTTCCGAAGTGGCTCCTACACACTCTGTTTTTGCATGTTTTGTAAATAGGCTTAGGTTTGTTTGTTTGTTCTTAAAGAAAATCACTTTTTTGGGGGGGCCTCATCAGTCTGCAGCTAATTCTCTAAAAAGAAATGACAGTCATAAAGAGTGAGTTTAGAAAACTATCTGTAAAAGAAAACAGTGTTTCTCAGATGATTAACCAATTTCTTTGATAGATGCTTTTTGTATCTGCATCACAACATAAATGCTTTTGAAGTCATAGTCTGGTGCAGCACTTAAGAAAAGTCAAACCACCTAACTCTTCTTGATCACCTGTACAGTGGGAGTGTAAAAAACTCCTAACGATTCAGCAGTTTATCTGTGTGCAATATGTTATTCTGATTTTCATCTTAGTTTTCTATAAAATATGTTTTTACCAAGTCCATGTGTGAATGATTTAAAAAACTAAAAATGAGGTATAAATGTAGTGTACTTAATAAACTGTCAACCAAAGCAATGTCTATGGAAAGATTTATTTCATCAAATGGTGCTATGGGCTAAATATCTTATCCGAGTCTTCCTGTCCCAGTGCATTAGTGACCTGCAGGTCATAAGAGCCTCCTGGATTTCTCAGATCTCCACCCTGGAGCTGGGCTTGTTGGCACTGTAAATGGTTTGCTAATTTATTGAATCTATCAAAGTGATTCATAACAAAACCAAAAACCTTTATAAAACTATCATTTTTCTCATTGTAATATTTACTTGCTAATACACTAATTCATAAAAATTAAACATGAGTAAAGCCAAGGTTTAGGAGCCTTTTATATTCAAAAGCACATTTCAAGAGCAGGTAGAATTCAGCTAGGTGCAATATTCTTTACACATCATCAATTATCTTTGCACAAAGAGGTTGAAGGGAAGTCCTAAGATAGGTAGATTTCACATTTATGTTCTTGCTTCTCCATTAATCCAGGAAGAGAGTTCCTTCCTGTGCTTAGATTCGTGTGACTCTGGTAAGTTAATTGTATAACTTCTTTTGCTGAGCAGTCATGAAAAAGATTTCACAATAAGGCTAGAAACAAAAGGAACTCTTGGGAGATTAGTACAAAAGCTGTTTTCCCTGATGACTGTTAACAAAGACCTGGAACATTCTTAGATAGAATGTTCTACAGTGGTTAGGAAAAGGTTGTTTATTCCCTGGGGGTAAGGGGCATGGGAAGGGGTATTAAGAGGAACAAATTGAATCCTAGTCAGGATAGTCAGGAAATATTTGCAGATACTGGAGCAGAGACAGAGATTCCAGGGATTGGAGGGACAGAAGGATACAGTTGGGGCTAATGAGCATTGAAGAACTACAAGGAGCAGAAATGATCACACCACCTTCAGAATTCCAACACTTGTCTTTCTGCCTTTGGAAATACTGCAGAAGCATTTTCTGTTCTTGAGGAATTGACAGATTGGGGTCAGTGGTACGGAAGAGAAGAAAGTATAGTAAATAATGAGGACTCTGGATAAAGGTACTGTTGTCAGACCCTGGACCTTGAGTATAAAGTGGAGAACTGACCCTGGAAGTTGTCTTCTGACTTCCACAAGCACTGTGCTGGTACATGCACATCCACACACATCATAAGCACACAAATAAGTGTGTAAATGTAGAAAAGATGTTTAAAGAATGAGTATTATAAAAAGTTATACTGAAGAAGAGGAACTTGAGATATGTGCTAAAAAATGAGTTTTAGATTCAGAAACTGTACAAATATGTTCTAAAATGAGGTTGAACTTGGAGATAAGAAACATTGGATTTTGCAAATGATTGTTTTTAGTGTTGGGTGGGAAAGGGTGCCTGTTCATATGTATACAGACAAGCATTTGCTATTTTGGTACCAGATCAAAGATCAAATGCCCTCAAAAGATGCTAACTTCAGGTGGTCTGTGGGCGTTAGGTATTCAATTTGTAACATCAGTTCCCATAAGACTAAAGAGCAAAGAAATAACCTGTTAGCTGTTTCCACCGATGATGTGACCACCAGAGGTCTTTTGGGGGGTTTGTTTGTTTGTTTGTTTTGTTTTTTGAGTCTTAAGTCTCTTTTTCTGACTGAGCAGGGACTCTTATCACTCCTTTCCAAGGTGATGAGAAAAGTCCAAGACCCATCTCAGATCCTAATTTGTTTACCCAAGTACAGTGAGCTGGCATTCATTTTCTCTTTTTTATTTCATGTCTATTAGCAGTTTGGTATTAATTAGTAAGCATTGTCTTCACTGATGTCTGTGTGCTGAAGCTAGCATTCATTCAGCAGAAAACTTGGTACTACCTTGTAGCAGGTACTCGGTGCTATGCACTGGTTACACCAGAAGTAAGTAAAATACATGGTCTGGAACCCATGGAGCTTATGATCCGGTGTGGGACAGTGCAGTGTAGCAGTGTCAGAATCACACCAGGGCTGAAGAGATGGCTCGGTGATTAAGAGCACTGGCTGCTCTGCCTGAGGACCCAGGTTTAATTCCCAGCTCACAACCATCAGTAATCCCAGTCTGAGGACCTGACTGCCTCAGTCATGTGCGCACACATAATGCACAACAGACATACACCCAGACAAATACTGGCTGGGACCTCTCCCTCCCCCCTCCCCAACATGGTCTCCTGGATTATATAAAGTGGGAGAAAGAGCTGAGCACCAGCTGGCGTTCATCTGCCTGCTCCTTGACTGTGGATGCAATGTGACCAGCCACCTCCCAAGCTCCTGCTGCCCTGACCTCTCCCGTAGTGGACGACCTTGAACTTTGTGCCAAATAACCCCTTTCTCCTGGTGTTGCTTTTGTCGGGATATTTTCATCACAGCGACGGGAAAAGAAACTAAGACAAGAAGGCAAAAAGAACCCAGATGTCATTAGATGGTTTGACAAAGTAAATGTCATGATGTGCCGGAGGCAAAGATAAGACACTTGGCGTGGGGGGGGGGGGAGGCAGGTGGGGGGAGTGGTGTAGAGATAAGCATCAGGAGGAGAGGTCTTACTGAAGAGCAAAAGTGGACAAAGGCTGATGAATGAATGGATGGGAAGGAGTGCTTCCTGATCTTTTTAATTCTGTGGTAAACAGAATTAAACCTTCGTGTTTCAGAACTTCCTGGCTCGGGTGAGTGTTGACTTGGTTAGTTGTGATCATGTACACAGGAGACTAAAGAATATCCTGAAGCTAAGCCTTAAGTATTACTAGGTATGTGGGGGAGGGGTGGTTTAGGGAAAAGGTCTTCTTCATGCAGTTTGCGCTATCAAAAGCCTTCCAAGTTCTGGATGTACTCATTTATTTGGACTGTTATAATTGGTATTTCAGTTACCGTCAAGGTTTTTTTGGTTTTGTTTTCTTTAAGATTTATTTATTTTTACTTTATGAGTATTTTGCCTGCTATTTAAATAAATGCATGTGAGCCTAGTGCCCACAGAGGCCAGAATAGGGCACTGGATCCCCTGGAATTTGGATTAGAGACAGTTGTAAGCCACCATGTACATACTGGGATTTGAACCCAGGTCCTCCCCAAGAGCAGCAAGGACTCTTAAAGGCTGAGCCATCTGTTCAGTTCTCTTCAAAAATCACTTTCTAAGACTGAGTTATTTATTTGTGTGTGTGTGTGCACAGTTGCCCTGGAGTCTTAGGGGGTCCTGGATCCCTGGAGCTGGCGTTTCAGGCTGTTGTGAGATGCCAGTGTGGCTGCTGGGAAGCAGACTGCAGTTCTCTGCACGAGGAGCAAGTGCTTGCCCAAGGAGCCGTCTCCCCAGCCCACTTTCAAAATCAGAAGCCCAGTAAGATTGCGATAAAAATGGAAATCAATTGCAGGAGTAATAACATTCAGAAAATTGTAGGGTTTTAGTTTTCTCTGTTCCATAACATATTGATACAATAAATACATTTTGTTACCTTTTAAAGATCAGCATAAATAGAAACCAGCTTTTAAAAGACCTGATATTTTTTTTCAAGGTATTACCATAAATCATGAAAAGATACAAACATAAGAAAGCAGAGTAGAATGAACTGCCATGTACCTCTCAGCTAAATATAGCATTTTTTTCTGTCAACTTCAGGTTTGGGGGTAAAGTATTTTAAAAACACGACCTTCCTCCCTAAACATATAAATATGTATTTCTTAAGACTAAGATACTGCCGGGCATTGGTGGCGCACGCCTTTAATCCCAGCACTCGGGAGGCAGAGCCAGGCGGATCTCTGTGAGTTCGAGGCCAGCCTGGGCTACCAAGTGAGTTCCAGGAAAGGCACAGAGCTACACAGAGAAACCCTGTCTCGAAAAACCAAAAAAAAAAAAAAAAAAAAAAAGGAAAGGGGCTGGAGAGATGGTGCAGTGGTTAAGAGCACCAGCTGCTCTTCCAGAGGACCTGAGTTCAATTCCCAGCACCCACATGGTGGCTCACAGCTGTCTGTAATGCACTTGCAGGGGATCTGACACCCTCACACAGACAAATGTACACACAAGTAAATAAATAAAATATTAAAAAAAAAAAAGACTAAGATACCTACTTCTATTACCATCAAAGTATTAGCAGGTCTAAGAAGTTTTTTCAACACACAGGGAAAAAGCAAAAAAGCTTGGCTGACTTCTCCCCAGTACCAACCACTGATGACTTTTTTCCATAAAGCATGTATGTACAATATGCTTTATATATAAAAGGTTGATTTGTTTTTTAAACGATTTTGATTTTGTTTTTTGACACAGAGTTTCTCTATGTAGTTCTAACTGTCCTGGAACTTGCTCTATAGACCAGGCTGACCTCGAACTCAGAGATTTGCCTGACTCTGCCTCTGAGTGCTGTGATTAAAGGCATGTGCCACACTGGTCCAGTTTGATAGGTTGGTTGTTTTGTAAAGTTACTTCAGAGATGATTTCAAAAACAACTTTTGTACTAAAATGACACAGTGTTCCAGATGATGCTTCATCATTGAACTTATAAAAGCATATATTTTTTTAAATTCAAATTATTCAAAGTACTGATATTCTAGTTTATTACCCTTTAAGCTATACAATTTGACTCCTTCTTTTAGAGACACCACACAGACAGCCAAGGAAACCAATGAGTATCTGACTGAGCCCGAACAGGAGCTCAAGGATTCCAACAAGCAGGAGACAGAGAAACACTGAGAAGTGGAAAATCCTGTGTCTGTCTTCTTCAGAGTTAGAGTTGGGTACGCTCCAGTTATTGATGATGTCACTGATGCTGGAGTTTTTTAAATCAGTAGGAGAAACACAAGAGTCTTGGAAGAACCACTGCAGACTGAAGGATTCAGGATGGAAGTCACTAGGGGGAAAAAGAGAAGGGCTAAATGTGCCTGTTAACAAAATAAAAGCCCCAGTATAGTAAGACCCAGTGTACAGTTTTAAAGATTGTGTATAAAAACCAGAGCTAAGATCTGGTTTTCTGAGCACATAAGCATAGCCCTAATCTTAAAACCCTTACTCATCACACATCGTATCATTCTCCATAGAAAACCTGATCTTAAGGTGAACTACATAAGATGCACGCTCTCCTGTGTCGGGATGAAGATAAATATATCAACCATGGGTGTTTGAACCTGTCCCGTGCAGCCATTCTACTTCCCAAAGGTGGAAAGCAAACAAACATATGCACACAACTGAGTTTCACCTAGATCTGCTCTGAGGCCAGGTGATTTTTTTTTTTTAAAGATTTACTTATTTATTATGTATACAGTGTTCTGTCTGCACGTATGCCTGCAGGCCAGAAGAGGGCACCGGCTCTCATTACCGATAGTTGTGAGCCACCATATGGTTGCTGGGAATTGAACTCAGGACCTCTGGAAGAACAGCCAGTGCTCTTAACCGCTGAGCCATCTCTCCAGCCTGGTGAATGGTTTTTAGTCACAGCATTTCAAATACTTCTGATTAAAATGATATATGCCTCTTCTAACATAAAGCAAGCAGCTTTTAGTCCTAACGCATCTGTCTTAAGATGATTTTTGTTGGCTTTCTTTTATTTTTTTGTTTATCAGAATAAAATGGAGTACTCTTAGAGGGTGCACATTTCTAGATTCCCAACAACCGACTTTGGACCTGAGAAAATAACAGTATTTCAACACATAGCCTGTGAGACTACGGATTTGCCTGAGACTGCAGGATTCCCCTATTGTATTGGCCTCCTCAGCTAGACTGGGAGGGGCTATCTGAGTGCTGCTGTCCTCAAAGCTTGGACTTCGACCCCCTATATTGGTAGACTGTTGTCATCCCTTGAGGGTTAAATGTGTACAGTAGCTGTGGTTGGGAGTTCAAATTGTCCCTACTAGTAAAGAATTTCCTTTGGGAATTAACAATAACTTCTATACAAATTTTGACTTTTTAAAAAGTAGGTAATGGGTAAAAACAGTTGTTTGATAAAAGTATAAAAGTTACATCTGGTGGATTTCCCAAACTAAATGGCTAATTAAAGGTAGCTAATGAATTAGATTGGTCTTCTATTTCTGCAAATTATGCCTAAATTCAGCCATAGAATTGTCTCAATGGACCATGTATGCTGTGATGTTCTGTATGTCCTGTGGGAGCCCGTTCTCGGGTTCCTCGTGGCTTTACCCAGCAGGTCCACATAGAGGATGATTAGGACCACAGGCCTGAGTGCAGGTGTCTGAGATGGTCTGCACTTGTCAAATTGCTCTGATTGGTCAATAAATAAAACACTGACTGGCCAGTGGCTAGGCAGGAAGTATAGGCGGGACTAACAGAGAGGAGAAAAGAAAGAACAGGAAGGCAGAAGGAGACACTGCCAGCCGCCGCCATGACAAGCAGCATGTGAAGATGCCGGTAAGCCACGAGCCACATGGCAAGGTATAGATTTATGGAAATGGATTAATTTAAGCTATAAGAACAGTTAGCAAGAAGCCTGCCACGGCCATACAGTTTGTAAGCAGTATAAGTCTCTGTGTTTACTTGGTTGGGTCTGAGCGGCTGTGAGACTGGCGGGTGACAAAGATTTGTCCTGACTGTGGGCAAGGCAGGAAAACTCTAGCTACACATGTATACATAACTTCCAATGTAATATATTGCTACCTGACTTAAATATTTTTATTTCTGTCTATAAGTACATAGCATGAGCACAAGTACCTCCTAGCTGCTGTTTCTTGTCTTTTATTTTTTTTTTAAGTTTCAAAAGTAAGGGGCTAGGGTGGTGCCTCCATGAATAAAAAAGCACTCGCTGGGAAAGCCTGAGGGCCACAGTTCGAATTTCCAGCACCCGTATAAGAAACAAGAAGATAGGGTGGCCACCTGTAATCCCAGCTCTGGGGAGGGCTAACAAGGGAGTCCCTGAAGCAAGCTGGCTGTCTGAGTCATCAGGCTCCGGGTTATGTGAGAACCCTTGCCTTGGTAAATAAAGTGGAGAAAAATTAAGAACACCTATCATCAAGCTCTGGCCTCCTTATGCACTGGCACATCTGTCCACACACATGCCAACAAACATTGCAAATGCATGAACACCATACGCAAAATGAAACCATCTGTGATTTACAAATTTAGTGGTTAATTAGTGACTGGTGGGATGGCTCAGCTGTTTAGAGCACATACTGTCCTTCCAGAGGACCCAAGTTTAGTTATCAACACCCACTAGGGGCAGCTCGCAACTGCCCATGACTCTGATTCTACAGGAATCCATCACCTGTGGCTGCTGTAGATACTATATCCACAGTACAAAACACATAATAATAATAATAATAATAATAATAATAATAATAATAATAATAATATTAGGGCCTGGAGAGATGGTTCAACAATTAAGAGCTCTTGTTGCTCTTGCAGTGGACCTGGGTTTAGATCTCAGCATCCACATAGTGGCTCAAAAAAAAAAAAAAAAAAAAACAATTCATAACTCCAGTTCTAGGTACAGTGTTCTCTTCTGGCCTCTGTGGGTACTGTACAAATGTGAGACATTTGAATGTATCCAAAACACTCATACGCATAAAATTTAACTTTAAAAAAAATTAGTGCAGACATGTAGAAAGTAAATGTTCCCCTCACTCACCCATTACTATTCCCAAGGATTTAAATTAAGTATATATTCCCAGAACTTTTAAGAGACATCCACATGTAACCATGGATTTTTACAAGACAGTATAAGCCACCTGAGATCAACTGGACCATACCTAGTGCACTTGGGTTGTGGTAGCCCCTCCACTTCTTTGTGAGACGTTACCTATTTGTATTCATTTACCAAGTCCCTAAGAATGTTTGTCCCAGAAGTCAGAACAGAGAAAAGCCCAGCGCTGTGCATCATAACAAGCTGCAGCTATGTGAGACCACGGGACAAAATGCTACTCACCTCAAGTTTTTCAATGAAAATTCACAAGAGACGGTGCTGTTGGCTTGAGAGCTACAAATGAGAGGGCCTTGCGAGAGAGCCTGGAGTGATACCAGCATGCAATAGACCGCACCAATGATTGTGATTACACTTAAGAGCGATGAAAGAAACATCTGGAAAACAAAGCAGGGACATTTGCACGCGTGATTTGTATGTCTTGCATCTGTTTCAAGTTATACAGCAGTATCGTGTGGCACTTACAGTCTTATTACTTAGTTCCTGATTACTGTTCTCCACTCAGTCTGTGCTCCTAGATTTCCACCCCCCTTATTTGTAGATATATATAAGTGTATGGTATTTGTACATGTTTGTGTGTGCTTGTTCTGCCATGCGTGTGTTCACACGTGTGCGTAGGGGCGGGAGGGGGCAGTAAACCAGAGGTTGATGTCGGGTGCCTTCCCTCACCAGTTCATTCCCCACCTTATTTTTGAGACAGCATCTCTCACTGAACCTGGAGCTCAACCATTTGGCTAGGCTGGCCAGCCAGTGAGTTCCGGCACCTGCCTTTCTGCCCCTCTAACACTGGGGTTAGAGGCAGATTGCACTGTACCTAACCTTTATGGGAATCCTAGGGATCCAAACTCCAACCCTCATACTTATATGTAAGACATTTTACTGACTTAGCCATCTCCCTAGCCCCATATGGTCCTGAGTCTCCAGGCTGCAGTTTGATTATATGTGGGTTTATGAAAGGGGCAGAGACCAAAGTCTGCTGTTGAATTACAGTTGCCAAAAGACTATCACACTTGTCAATGTCTCCAAAAAATCTCAACTTTCATATTCCTGGGCTTTTGTTTTCCTTCTGGCCACTGAAACCTGGTTCTTTCTTCCTGTTGTATATAGTTCTTCTAACTACATTGAACCTCCACTAGACCTTAACCACCTAACGCTTGGTGTCTGGGCTCTTGGCTCCCAATTCTTCCATCCCTATTTGGCCTAAGTGGCCATGGCCAGCATCCTGAAGTAATCAATCAGCAGGGTGGGGAGCACGACTGCTCAGCTCTGAGCACTGAAGTGGGCATTTTGCTATTGGGGCCCTTCCAAGGCAGGATGAGATGAGTCAGCATCGCCGGTCTCCAGCCATCATCTGCTAGTATCACTCCATTCTCCCAGTCCAATATGACAACTAAAAACCATCTCAACAATGCCACATGCCCCAGTGCCCCTTTGGGGTAGGGGTGGAGGGTCTAAATCTACCCACAGTCGAAAATACCATGGAGAGAAAGTTTGTGCCTTTCATGAATCTGAGTCACACAAACAGATAAAATGTGGAATTTGTCATTTAAAAAAAAAAAAAAGAAGAAAGTTAATGTTGAATGTGTTTCTTTCCAAAAATTAATTGTGTTTCACAAAGTTGTTAGTGATTATGATTATTTCAAAGTCAAAAGTGGAGCAAGAGAACACTTTCCTTCCCTTATGGAAAACTATTAGCTCCTGAACATTGTGTATTGTGTCCTTCAGACCCTTGATGAATAGGCAGGTATGTTGAAACCTCCCTAGATCTATGTGTGTTCTCATCTGAATGGGAACCATTGATTTAAAACCTTTATGCTGAGCTCAGCCCCATTATTGATTGTGGTGCTTCTCATTGGTCTACCCCTGCCTTAGAGAATTACACCTCACCTCCCCATATTCCCCCCTCCCCCTGCCTGCATTCATGGTGTAAATAGTGTAAGAACTGAAATTGGGAGTCCAGTGGGCTTGATTAGAAAATACTTATTGTGCTACCCTGGTGAATTATTTCCGTTTCTTTTGTTTTGTTTTGTTTTGTTTCTGACTACTAGTGTTGTTTTGATCAACAACAAGATCTACCAGACATCATGGTCTTTAATTCCATCACTCAGGAGACAGGCAGGTGGATTTCTGCAAGTTCAAAGCCAGCCCAGTCTACATAGTGAGTTCCAGGACAGCCAGGGCTCTAGAGAGAGAGCCCGTCTTAACAAAACAAACAACTCCCCATCAAATTAATTAATTATTAATTAAAATAAACTATGATGTGACCGTTGCCCACATTAGAGTTTTGAGGAATTAAGTATGGTAGGTATTAAATGTTTGAAAAATAATTGATGTCTCCTTTAAGAACTTTAAGAATTAAAGTTGGAACTAAGTGCAATTAACCTAGCAAAGTAATCTTTCTATAGGTACTAAAAAACTGAGGGCACATTTGCCCTAAGCATTTTATATACTACTCAAAACACATATTTTAGTATTATGAAGCTGATTACAGTTCTGGGTGTGACATAAATCCTCATTTGAAAAGCTTCTGATTCTTTAGGTGAACTGAAGTTTGAGGAAAGGGCCAGAGGCTGGTTCCAAAGCTAGATGTTTGTTGTTTGTTTGTTTGTTTGTTTGGGGGGGGGTTCTCGTGTAACAGCTCTGGCTGTCCTGGAACTAGCTCTGTAGACCCAGCTGGCCTCGAACTCACAGAGATCCGCCTGCCTCTGCCTCCCGAGTGCTGGGATTAAAGGCGTGCGCCACCACTGCCTGGCTCAGAGCTAAATTTCTAGGAGAAAAGAAAAACTGTCTTCTCACTCTTTACCTGACTGTTTAACAAACCCCGACAGCATTTGTCCAAGCCTGATTTGTCCAGCCCAGCAGGTGCTGATGGCCCAGATGCCCTTGGCTGTTCATGTGCTTCCGCTCCCAAGCCCCCTGCTCCTTACTCACCCCTGTCCTGTTATTGCAGCACGCTCTTTTTCGCGATGCCAAGGACATCGTTGTTGCTGGGATGGCCTGGAAAGAACGTCACAAGAATGATGAGTACTCTTTCCTCTCACCAGATGCAAACCCAGTCATCACCACCTTCCATTTACTACCCCTTGGGGAAACTCGGGGTTCAGGAGAGGGAATCGGGCAGTGTCCATGTGTTGTGAACCTTAGCATCAGTTTCAACTGTAAGGATTGAAAGGGTGAGAATTGAGATAGCAGTTAGGAAGCTTCCCGTCTCCTGTTTTCTCGGAGTCAGCTATAGCCAGCCGCCTGGATTTTAAGCAGAAGAGGACAGCTTATGAAGGCATGAGTTTCAGAAGGAATCTTAAAGAACTGGGTCTATCACCCAAATTTTACCTTTTCAATCCTCTCTTTCCCATTCCACCTTTCTTCCTCTCCCCTCTCTTTTCTCCCCTCCCTCTTCCTTCTCAAATTACTATAACCTGCAGCCACATCGAATTTAAGTTAAGCAAGTCAAACCTGGGAAGAAGAAAATTGACATCTTTGTTTGCCTGGCATTTGGCAGGGGCTAATTAACCATCACTCCCACGTGCCTTGCCTTCTACACCCCTGGCCACCAGCATCTTGCCAGTCTCCCCCAGCCTATATGTAAGAATGACTTTTGGTCCCACATGCTCCTTCCTGCTCCTGTATCCCTAATATGTACTGATTTTACTTTACACTGGTATTTAGAAGTCTTTGGGTTTTTACTTTGTTTGTTTGGGACAAAAGCTTGCTGTGTAGCCTTGGCTGGCCTGGAACTTGCTGTATAGACCAGGCTGGCTTCAAACTCCCTCCCGAGTGCTAGGAATAAAGACAGGCAGAAGTCTGGTATATATTGCATTCTGTATTGCTGAGGAGAGCTATAAATGGTATTATATTCTTAAGAGTTAGTTTTCTATTTTTAAAAAGAATTAGATGTTAGCTAATTACACTCCTAGTTAAGAGTTTTGTACAGTCGGAGGACAGATGTCAGTTGCTTCCTTTCCCTTGTGAATTTTTAGCCGTGATGGGTTTTAGCTGTTTTAGCCACACGTGCTCCCCCCCCCCAATCCTGCACCCTTGCTCACGGCATGCTCCCTCTAATGGTTCCTTCCCCTGTTTTTTTCCAAAGCCACATCTACCTTTGTGTTTTCTAGAACAGACTTATGCCTCTCACAAGGCAGCTTTCTCAACCCGTGTCACCCCATCCTATCACATGCCGACTCCATGTCACTGTGTGTTTCTGCCAAGCTTTGCTTATCCGTTGAATACGGATACCTTCCCAACTCAGAAGCTGCACGTACGTGTGGCTGCCCAGCCATCCTGTACATCGCTGAAAGCCCAGAGGAAAAGGGAAAAGAAATCTTGGTCAGCATTTATATACTAAGTTTTTTTCAGTTGTTTCAGAAGACACTGCTTCTGATCTTGCATAACACATCACGTAGAACAGGAACTGGTGAATTTGCACTTCTTGCCCCTGTCACTTCATTTTATAAATAAAGTTTTATTGGAACCCTACTTATTTGCATATTATCTATGGAGTTTCGTAAAAAAAAATGGTAGGGTTGCAAAGTTGGTAATTCCTAAGCATATTTGAATGCATGAGGTTTTATGAAATTCAGTCTTGCTTCTTCTTGTTTTTATAAATAATTACTATTCATTTTCTTGGCCGGAACCCATGCTTTCCATCAGTTTTAGAAAGTGTACAGTTTCATAAAGGAAGTACTATCATAAAAGTAACTATCATAAAAGTAACTATCATAAAAGTTGTGATAGAAGTCAAGTTTTGGGGACCCTCTAGACCCTTGAACATGAGAGCAACATGCAAAGCCATACTCAGCGTGAACACAGAAACCCTGTTTTGTAAAACTTTTCCGTGCAATCTAATCTGTTTGATTTGCTGCCATTTGCTTCCCACTAAGATTTTGAATAACTCCCTTTGACAAATTACCCCTATGTAATGAGTAAAATCAATAAAAAGAATGATTGAGACTCGGCTTATAGTTAACTTTATATAAAGTAAAAGAGTTTTTCTTTTCATGTTTTTCAAGGAACATTTTAAAATGTTTTTTGATGCTTGACCAAGTAACATTTATATTGACGTCCCCTCCCTTAGTAGATAATGTTCAAGTAATTACGTGATGTTTTACTTGGCTACAGTTTCAAAAGATAAAAGGGTTCACCTCTGATTTGGGTTGGTCCTAAAACCATAAATGATCTCATAAAGTAATCAGTAATGAGCCCAAGGGTTTATATTATATGCAGTTTCCTGTAAACCCCCCCCCCATTTCTAAAGTGATCCCAATTTGAAATGTAGCGACATCCAAAGGAGTTAAGGACTCTGACCATATGCTCAGTACCCTTAATGACTCTTTCTTTACAAACTGTCCTGCAGAAGTTAGAATTTTCACAGATGTCATGAAGGACTAATTCCCCCTAAAAAAGAGATGCTTTCTCCTTTTTTGCACAGCCAAGGATCATGAAAATATGCTTGCTTTCAGAGCACTGCCATCATCTACCTGTTTGCTTGTGGGCTAACCTCCAGTCTGAGGGTCTCCCTATGAAGAGCGTCAGACTTTTCCATGCGTTTGATGCTTTAGTGATCTCTGGTTAATATTTATTGGGGGAAGCAAGGTAGACTTAGCTGTAGTACAAGGAGTCCAGATTCGCTGAAGTGTTTCACAGGTGTGTAGACCTTTCTATGATTCAGCTTCCTGCTCTTTTTACTTTATGGTTCTTTATCTTTGACCTCTGTGGGCTGGAGACAGGGGTTAAGGACTCTGGTATTCGACTAGCGTTGGTGTTAGATAAATCTAGAATTGGGCTTCACACCCATTGTGTGACCTTGCTAACATTCTCAGCCTTCTGTTTTCTGGTCTGTAAAGTACAAGTGGCAATTGCAGCCCAGATGATTGTTGAGCTGAAACTAGACAGCATGGTATTGGGCCCAAGAGTTGACACCCAGCAGGATGTCAACAAATGAAAGCTTTCTGTCTTCCTGTCCTTCTTGGTCTGTCTAGTTTCTCCCCTGGCTTCTTGCTTTCTCTAAAATGAGAGCATATTAAAGATACCAGGGCTCTTTAATACTTGTAGCACATCTTTAAAATATTCTCTCCTGTGTTTTGAGCAATGCCAATTCATATCTAGAGATAGCTAAGTTTCTCTAAACGCCATCTGGGACACTCTGGGAGCTTTGCAGCCAGGGCTCAGATGCTCTTGGCCAGCTTCTGACTCTGCTTACACCAGGTACAGAGAAGGCCGGCCCTGCTGAGGGAACATTCTAGAAGACTGGATGAGGGCCTGATGCTTGGCTGTTGCTTCACACTGCTCAGCCTGGAAGCTGGCACGGCAGTTTGAAGAGGAAGCCCAGATTTTACGAAAAGCTTTTCCTGTGGCTGTGTCTACCTGAAACAGATGGCTGGATTACTCCTGTTGGCAAAGGAAAAAAAGTCATCAGCCTGTGGAGAAGGCTTTTTGAATGGCTTTGCCATGCCAGATAGGTTCAAAGGGAACAGATTTATATGTAAAGTTTAATATACTGTGGCCTAAGAGGTTTTGTTGCTTAGGGGTTTTGTTTTGTTTTGGTTGGTTGGCTGTTTGGGATTTTTTGTTTGTTTGTTTGTTTGGTGGGTTGGTTGGTTGGTTGGTTGGTTGGTTGGGTTTTTTGAGACCCAGTATCATATAGACCAGGTGACTTGAAACTTGCAATCCTCTGACCTCAGTCCCAGCTCTAAGAATGTTTTTATGTTGGGGCTGGAGAGATGGCTCACAGGTTAAGATCACTGACTGCTCTTCCAGGGGTCCTGAGTTCAATTCCCACCAACCACATGGTAGTTGACAACCATTTGTAATGAGATCTGGTGCCCTCTTCTGGCATGCAGGCATACATGCAGGCAGTACACTGTATACATAATAAATGAATGAATAAATAATCTTAAAAAAAAAGAATGTTTTTATGTAAGCTTAAGGAGAAACCTAGTGGCAGTAAACTGATCCTCACTAGGAATTAGTGACCCATAGCTGGGAGAGACGGCTCAGGGATTAAGAGCACTCATTGCTCTTACCAAGGGCCCAAGCTTGGTTCCCAGCACCCACATCAGGAGGCTCACAACTGCATGTAAAACACATATATAAATATGCTGATTCAAAGCTGGGCATGTCTGTGCACTCCTGTAAGCACAACAAGGTCCTGGGGGTGGGTAGCGAAGGAGAGAGAAAAAGAGTGAAATGAGGAAGGGGTAAGACTTCCTCCAATAACTAGTGATCCAAGTGGAGAACTCCTCTTTTACGTTCTGAGTTTCTTTAAAAGTTATTTCCATGTTTCATTATCTGCAAAACCCTAGTAATGTCAACATTTACAGTTTTCTCTCTCTCTCTCTCTCTCTCTCTCTCTCTCTCTCTCTCTCTCTCTCTCTCTCATTTCTCTGGCACTAACTAGATCACTGATGCACCTGTACAAGTGACAGGACAAACGAACAAGCTCCTAGGTGCTGAACTGTCAGTTTCAGCATCCCTAATCCCATTATACAGACACCAAAACAGAGTCCTGGGACAAGTGACTTGGTTGTGGTAATATACCAGAGACAGGCCCGTCGCCTCTCATATTCTTCCAGATCTGAAAATTGGACTCTACCAGTGGGTTCTACCCAGAATGGCTGCATCAGAATTCTGAGGGGGAAATGGAAACCTGACTCCTCACTGCTCTGCTGGCTCATTGTGAAGAACACTCACGGATTTGGTGTTGTACCACTCTGCATCAGATCCCAACAGAGAAGGTCCATTCACCATCATCAAACTATAAAACCCTAAGGCACTCTGGGATCTGTGTAAAAGCCAAAGCAAAAAGTCTGTGAGGTCAGAGTGTCTCAGTTGCCTTTCTATTGCTGTGATAAAACACCATGACTGTGGCCAAGCAGCTTATAAAAGAGGCCCAGGATTTGGATGTGTATGCCTTAGGCCAGCTCCCCTGAGAAGCAGGCTAAGCCTCACTCAAGATTTTCCACGTGCAGAAGCGTTTCTCATTCCCATTGAGCAGCTTCCCACTACTGTGGCATTCCCCAGAAACGCCTAGAAATCAGAATGGGACAAAGGAAAAGATGAGGCCATGGATTTTAAAATGCCCCCCAGATCTGGGGGAGTAGCTTAGTGGCTTAGAATGTGTAGAGTCCTGAGTTCCATCCCCAGGACCACATAAGAAAAAATCCTTAGTATGAAATAAGAAAATTCATAAATGTCATCCTACCTGTGAAGAAATGTGGTAGGTAATGACCTAACCACCTTCCATCAACTTCTTTTTTATTTTGCCTTAAGGTCTCTAGGATGGACCACAGTTTTCTTTATGTAAATTATCATTCTTCACAATATAACAGCATAAATCAACGGTAACCCTACATTCCTACCCATATCCTATGAAGACATAGTTGGCTGCAAGGTTGAAAGTCACACTTAAAGACACGAGTAAAAAGCAGTACACCCGTCTCCAAGTCAAGCCAAGCCAAACAGGTATTACTCACCAGCGCACCGGCTCCTATAATTCCTGGTAACCACCACTCATAGCAAGAGATGGGGTTTTGAGAAGCTGAATCTCCCTCCACTAGGCTGATACCCAGAGGTATACAATTGATAACTACTCCCAGAATAATCAGAATCAGCAGGCTGAAGCCATTGCAGGACGTCCACCCCTCACAGCACGTCATGGTTGTCCTGGTTCAGTTAGAAACGTCCTCCAAGTGTTTGGGCTTGTGGAGCTGGCTGGCCTTTTATCCCAGTGTTCTGGTTAAAGTTTAGCACTTATGAAAAATTGCTTTCGGAAAGCAGTTCAGAGTCCAGTAGGCTAGGACGTTATGAGGATTATGACGGGAACCAATAATCATTTTATATTATGATAGGATGAAGGAAAACACACAGAAAAAAAATCCATGGTTGCTGTGTGGTGAATTTACACACGAATATAGGTGAGTAAACCTGACAAAAATGGACTTGGGTGTCATAACTCCTCTAAAATATGTCTTTACTGAAATGCCTTATAAGATGTAGAAAGACACGTATATCCAATTAGAATAAACTACTTTTCATAACTCAATATTATTGTTATATGTGAAGTATTCTTATTTTTGGAGTTATTCAGTAAGAATATGAACATGTATAAGATTAGGAAAATATTTCTCCTCTACAAATATCTCTGATTATTCTAAACATTAGCACTCCATTCCAGGCTGTTTGCCCACATACAGCATCTTGGATGATGAATTATTCCAGTCTTATAAGGTAGATAGTTGGTACACAGCCCACCTATGACCTCAGGAAAGTTTGGCTAATGTCATTAGAAGAAAAGTGATCAAATATGGAAACCATGGCAGAAGCAGTGGGCGAGAGAATGGAGCCGCGATGATGGTGTCTGGCTTTATTCAAATCTTGAACCACACATCGCGGTTGCTCTTTCTAGATTGTGGCTCCATGCTCTCTCCTACTCACTTCTGAGTCCCTCATGGAAAGACAATCAATTGGGAGAAGCTTCAGATGCTTTCCTAGTGGTCACCATAGCCCACAGGAGGCTGCGCTGATGGCGGGTCCACAAGGGGCCCACATGAGCAGCAGCAACATCTGGATCCAGGCTCCCGCATGTCCTGAGGCCACGTTTTAAAATGCAGCAATGGCTTCTGCTCTCACGGTTGCCTAAACTGGCCTGTTCCATTTCTGTCCCCTCGCTGGAAGGTGAGTCATTAGGCAACACCCGAGTGTGAGTGGGCAGTAAAATTCTAATGAGTACATCCAGGAGAAACGTAAGCCCGCTTTATCTGTAATACCTTCCTCCTTCTCGTCCCAGATTTCACAGCTACTATTGGAGATGATGATGGACTATAGTGGTAGAGTCCACTCGATTTGGGGAAGGGGGCACGTATTGTGTGCTCGGAGAGGAGGTGGTTTAAGTGACCTTTCAGTGGCTTTCTGCGTCTTGTTTTCTACTTACTGTTTGGGTGGGAGCTCCACCTCAACACCTGGCACCCTGGCATCCCTGTACCCAAAGAGTCTGGAATGTTTGGAAGGAGTCTAATGGAAGATCCACCTCAACTCCCCTCTCCCCTCTTTCTCTAAACCTGCTCCTTCAAAGCCCGCCAAAGACGCTCAAGACCACTCTCACAGAGTATATAAGCAGCATCCCCGAAATCAGACACGTGGTTCTTCCGGTCTCACATCCCTGTCTCCTCTCTGTAGGCCTGGAATCGCCTGGGAGCACTTTACTCATTAAATCTGGGCTTTCCAATTCTGTCTGATTCCGTTTGCTGCGTCGACAGAGAGGCCTTCAGGAGGCCTAAAACCTATCATTTACAAAGAATGACTACAGACCTGTCCTATAGTCCCATAAATAAATTACACTTTCCTCCTCTTTTTAGTTAGTTTCTATTTTTCTGCAACCAAGAGAGCTAAAACCAAAAGCTACTAAAGCCAATTATTGAAAAGCACATGGCACGACAAAATCAGCAGGAGTCCAGATGTTCAGAAAAAAAGAAGTTTATTCAAATGAGCTGTAAAAGGAGCTAAAATTTGACTGGAGAGTGATGAGAAAAGCATTCTTGTAACCATGTCAGCCACTCCAAAAAAAATCAAAATTCTGGCTGTGTCAAGTGAGAAGAGATGCCATTGAGAAATTCTGTCTGCAAAATTGCTAAAAGGCCAGAGGAAAAGTTCTGGGGGTTTGGCTCATCTGCAGAAAGCCTTCCCAGGCTATAACAACTGGACAATTGGAAGGGAGCTGCTGCCTCTGCTGCCTGCAGAAAGGCAGAGGGAATCAAGCCACTGCTCTTGGAACAGTCAAGTTCAAACACTCCGATTTGGGTGCGGGTTAGGAGACCACTGCTTTCATCAGCACCCTACCACACTCTCCAGGCTGGTGACTGAACCCTGGAACACTGACCTTGCGATTGTCACTTCAACTGCATCTTGAGGTCTGTGAAACTGTCATTGGATCCACAAAACACAGAAGACTCAGTGTCTGCCATGTTCCTTTTCCACAGCAAGAGAAAGGAGCAAGTTGAGCTTGTATTGCTTTCTGTATCTCTCAGAGGTCCTTCTAGTCATTGCGTATCCAGATTCCAGATGCAGAAGACCCTGGGGCAAGTGTCGCCTTTGTGGTACAGGAAAGACAACTAGGAAGATACTGAAAAGGATAAGAAACAAGACTGTTCACCGCAATCACCATAGCGATCTCATCTAGGTTATAACATCAGATCCCTTGAAAACAATCTGAACCACGCTTAATATTTTTAAAACAAGTCAGGACTCTCCAGCTCCTACTATCTTTTTTAGCCTATCTCTGGGAAGTTCCATCCCATGTAAAGGGTTTGCATGATGTCAAGCCAGGTCTTAACTGTGCAGTCTGCTTCCTGACCTGTTGAACCAGCAAGAATTCAAAGGATAGGAAAAAGTAGTAAACATTCACCAAAGTTGCCTTAGCATGTCTCCTGAAATAGTCTTGATAGAGTTTGAGCTACATATGACACACATAAATAGCCATTGATTTTTATGAATTTTATGAATATATATATATATATATATATGAATTGTCTTCTCATAATATTATACAGCTCCACACTATGTGTTTCCCAGCTCTGCCCACTTACAGCTAAGTAAGACCATGTGGCTACTTCAAACCAATAGGAGGAGAGGGAAAGAAAGCCATGTCACTTTCAAGCCAAATTGTTTTGCAAGCACTAGGCTTTACCTACCTTGCTCTCCACCATAGACTGGGAATAACTAAGCTATCTCAGAGGTCATACATTGACCAGATCAGCACCTTCTTCAAACCTAAATCTTGAATAACTAAATGGAGAGCAGGTCGCTTGGCCCATATTCCTTTCTGCCCACTTAAAGCTACCCAGAATTATTGACATCAGCCAGAAAGACTTCTATTCTAGTGACTCACTGTATGTTTTTGTGCCTATTTGTTTCAGTAGCTTGCATTTCCCTATTATATTCAGTGTCAAAACTTGTCTATCTTTTGCTGTTGTTGTTAATTTTGAGACAAGGTTTCTCTGTGTGTAGCCGTGGCTGTCCTAAAATTTGCTCTTTATACTAGGCTGGCCTTGAACTCACAGAGATCTGCCTGCCTCTGCCTTCCAAGGTCCTGGGATTAAAGGTGTGCACCACCACCAACTGGCTAACCTTTGTTTATCTTATAACCTTCCTGGAGTTCAAAATCTGTGTTGCCAACATAGTCACCAAGAAAATCAAACCAAAGACAGTGAAACACAATATTTTTCTATTGTTTTATTGATAAATTTTATTGGGGAAAGATGGAAACACTTTAAAGTCAAGACACATGCAGTATACAACCAATGTAAGCAGACGTACAAATACAGGTGTTCTATCAAAGGTAAACATTTCAAAATAATAGAATATGTTCTTCCTTTTTTCCTATTATTATTATTATTATTATTATTATTACTTTGGTTTCTTGAGACAGGGTTTCTTTGTGCAACAGTTCTGGCTGTCCTGGAACTTGCTTTGTAGACCATTCTGGCCTTGAACTTAGAAATCCACCTGCCTCTGCCTCCTGAGTGCTGGGATTAAAGGCATGGGCCACCACCACCACCAGCTTAGAATACATCCTTTCATTCAGCTGAGATCATTAATGTGAATTTTCTGGACCTTCATGAACTTTGCCCTGTTTTCATTACAATGCAGATTATAGCTGGTGGTGGGTTTTTAAAATAGGAACACATTATAATGCTCCCGGTATTCAAGTTATATATGTGATGTGAGTATCAGCTAAAGACGAAATAAATCTTCAAAGTGTAAAGATAGAAGGACCATGAGTTTAGTTTTAAGAGCTCAATAGATGTATCTGCTATTAAAGTTGAAAAGGTCTTTAGAGATTCTGAGTTCAACTAATTATTTCACAGATAAATGACCACAATTCAGAGAGGCTGACTTCTTCATCTATGGTTAGGTGTCTTCAGCAGAGCACAGACTTATTTTAGTCTTCTTTCTAATCAGGTCTCTTTCTATGAATCCCCACAGCTTGATATGTAGGTGAAGTGGGAGGGATTAGAGTAAGTACTGTCTAATGTATGTATGTATGAATGTATGTATCTATGTAATATATAAGTATACAAGCCTGGATCCTACCAGCACCTGCCCCGGGGAGGGGGGCACAGCAGTCATCTTAGCAGCAGCACTTCTTGCAGCCACACTTCTGCTGGCAGCAGCCCTTCTGCTGGCAACAACAGCCCTTCCCACAGCCACAGCCACAGCCACAGGAGCCACAGCCACAGGAGCGGCAGCAGGTGCGGCGGCAGCAGCAGACCACAGGGGTGCAGCAGCCACAGCAGCCACAGCAGCGACCACAGCCACAGCAGCCACCGCAGCAGCCACCGCAGCAGCCAACCCGGTAGCACCTGCAGGTGGTGCAGCTGTTGCAGCCACCACAGCCGCCACAACCGCCACAGCCACCACAGCTGCCACAGCCACCACAGCTGCCACAGCCTCCACAGCTGCCACAGCCTCCACAGCCACCACAGCCACCACAGCCACCACAGCCACCGCAACCCATGGTTTCAGAAGAGAGGACTCAGGTCAAATGAGCAGAAAAGTGACTTGGGAGAAGAGAGGATAGTCTGATGTCTTCTTCTGCTGGGAGCAGGGCTTATATACCATCTCTGAGCAAGCATCACCGAAGCACATGATTTCTATTGTTTATCTCAGTTTCCTGGAAAGAATTCTTCAGCACCAAAGGTTTACTTCCTTCTTAGGGACTTTTAACCTCACAAACAAACAGCTTATTTTTAGCTATGATTGTATTTGTTTTGAAAACATATTTACGGTTGGGCTCTGGAATAGTTTGCTTACATACTATTGTCTGTGCAACCAATGAGAGTCTCGCTCTGATGTTTTATTTGAACCTAGTGTGACTGGAATCGAGAGACCAACCATTCCCCATGTTCTTACTACTCATCGCTGACCTCTGCAGAGATGACACAAATAAGTACTTCCAGAGGACCAGCCAACCAGAGGTTTCAAAGCATTTCCGGAATCTGCATGCCCTTGGTTTATATGTTCAGTAGTTGGGTTTGATCCCGGCACCTCAAAGAATAAATGGGCAAAGGTATTTGTTTGTTTGTTTGTTTGTTTGTTGGGTTTTTTGTTTGTTTGTTTTTTGCAGTGGTGGCACATGCCTTTAATCCCAACACTCAGGAGGCAGAGGCAGGCTGATCTCTGTGAGTTCCAGGCCAGCCTGGGCTACAGAGTGAGTTCCAGGAAAGACACAAAGCTACACAGAGAAACCCTGTCTCAAAAAACAAAAAAACAAACAACAAAAAAGAGAGAGACAGAGATAATGAAAGTCACCTCAAAAGTTAGCGCAAAGAGGACTCTTCCAGAATTTCACCATGATACCTGGAGCTGCTGTTGTACTATCAGCCACGAGACATCTACCTGCACAAATGAGACACATAACTAGTCCTTGGTCCTGTGTCTCCTGTCTGAATGACCCACAGTTTTCCCCTGTGGTATAACGCCTTTCTATGGAACCTTAAATGGAACAGTGGGAATAGTAAGAAAACAAAACAGTATTTTAGGGCATTTGAAATGCACCCCTGCAGGAACCTGCACTGAAGTCACAGCATCTGTGGAAACAGTGATGTCAATGCCCAGTGCTAAGCCCTATCCTAGAGATATTTGTCCCAGGGGAAATGGCAGAGGCATCCACATGCTATGGCTCTTCAGTAAGTGAAGAGATTCTTCATGTATCCAGGACCACCCTCAAATCTAGATAAGAGGTTCCCTGGCCACTTCAGAATCTCACATATCACAATCCAGCAAACAGTAGACCTAATAAAAAACAAAATGAAGCTGTGAAGGCAAGGATTGAGAGATGTTCAGTGAATGAGACCACTTGCTGTACAAACAGAAGAACCTGAGTCTGGATCCCAACACACACACACACACACACACACACACACACACACACACACACACTCACACTCACACTCACACACACAAAGCCAGGTATGGCTGAGAGTATGCGTATGTGGGGGCCAAGACAAGAGGCTAACTGAGTCTTTCTAGCTGCCACCCCCAGCTCCAGGTTCTGTTGAGAGACCCTGCCTCAAAGAAATAAAGTGGACAGTGATGGAACAGTAGTAGTACACTCGATGTCCTCCTCTGGCCTCCGTATCCTCATAGGTACATACACTTTCTCATGTATATGTACAAATACCACACATACCCACTCAAAGACACACACACACACACACACACACACACACACACACACACACACACACAA